CTTGTGTAGTTGACGCTTAGTTGAATGCGCAGAGGTTAGAGTATTTGCTCGTCAGCACCCATACACACACACACCCGGTGAGTTTCAGAATTTAAGCCTTTTTCGAGGAAGATTCCTTGATGGTACGCCTCTGGGTAATCGAGAATGCTTTCCTAACTGAGTTTACTTATTGCTTATTATATTATCTTATTCATGGGGTGTGCAATAGACTTACCTCCACGTGGTGCACCCTGGGCAACGTATACTCATACGGCAAAAAAGTCTATTAACTGGCAGTTGACTTCTGGCTTCTAACTACCAACACCCCACTGTATGTTATATTTGACCACTTCCACAGTACTTACCTCACCTTTTTTCTACCTTTGTGTCTGTCTCTTTTACATCTTTGAAACCTGAAGTCACCTAAAGGGCTAATGAAACTATCAAAATGCCAAACATTTGGTATAAATTATCTTATTCATCACGAAATAGATTAACTGGAATGTCACACATTCTAAGCATGGAATTTTGGACATCAATTCAGTGGGTTCTAGGATTGAGATTAAATTTATCTTACTGTGAATATTTGAGATTTTCCTTAAGAAGTGCTGCACAATGATCTCGCATATTCGCTTTCCATTTAAACAATTTTTCCTGTCTTATTCTGTAGGCTAGACTCACTGAAGAGCAAGTGGATGAATTTGTGGAGATTGTCTTACCAGCCTGTCTGGAGATTAATATCTACACACGGGATAGTCCTGGCACTCTTAAGGCCGCATGCGACGCAGTACAATATTTGGCTTATCTACGTCCACGTCTTGTCTTTCCGGCATTAATTGGGGACATTGAGGAGGGCCTCTCAACACCTCAATTGCCTCTTAGAGTAACCCGACCTCTCAAAGCGCTTTCCTTTTCAATTAGGGCTCTTTTCGACCCAAATGTCACACCTAACTGGGCTCACTACATTGGCTTTCAACCCACGGATCAACTTCAGAATTATTCCACTAATGATAACGTGAGCCTCTCTAACTATTGACAATTCCTCCTCCCTAACCATCGACTTTGAGCTTATTTCATCTTATTCCCCTTTAAACAGCCTCAGTTGATTGCACAAACAGCGGAGCAAAGGAGACAGTGGGCTTCCCACTTATCAGCAGTGATCTATCCCGAGGGTCGTGCTCTAATACCACGAATTCTAAACATTTGTCTGGCCGCTCTTGATCTGAATCAGAGAGATCGGCTTGAATCCAGTCTCCACATTCTTAGAGTAATCTGTAAGTCATTATTTTATGTTTGGGCTGTCTATGTACCATTTTAGCCTTTCCTATGATGATGATGATGATAAAATCGATATTTGGTGTAAATGGGCGTTTTGTATGCGTTAAGTTTGAAGTGTAGAATAATACTTAATAAAATGTTGGTATTTATTATTAGAACAGGGAGCAATCGGTTAAAGTTATGCGGTGGTCAGGGGATAAGCTAAGCATATGTTAGTACTTAAATTTGTTTTAATAATCTGAAATGAATCTATATTATTTATGATATTTGAAAGTAGTATACTACCTGCCTTTGCACTTTTCACGTTGTCATCCCAATTTGTTATTGAGGCGAAAACGTAGAGCGTTAAAAAAATAGCAAAAGTATGTCGCCTATTTTTGGTCCAAAAAAGCGTGTTGAGGGGACTTTCTGAGCCTTTCTCATCATCACCTTTCCTAATCTTTAGTTTTAGCCACGCCAATTAAAGATTACTCGGGTAGAATTCATCCAGGTGCAAAAGGTACTTTTCCGAGGGGAGACGAAGGCTTAATGCATGAAGTCGCAAAGCGATTCTACGCAACAAATTTGTCCCAGTTCTCACCAGGGATGGAGGATATTGTGTTGGAAATTTACAAAAGAATCTTCTACTTCATGGAGAAAGAAAACGAAGGTTCCGACTTCCAATTCTCAAACGCTAAATCACCTCAAATGTCAACGAGCGCAAAAATGATCAGGTCGGCTACAGTCATGAATTTTTTGGCAAGTTCATCCTCTGTATCCCCTGGGTTGCGTGCACGCCTGGTGACACTCTGTCTGCACGCAATTATGCAAAATCAATGGATATTGGATTGCGATGAACCCTTACTCAGCGTACTATCTGCGTTGCTTTGTGCATCTCCAACTGAAATGAATGCTGATTCGGACAATCTACCGGAGTCAGATATCGCGCTATTTGCTCTTAAAGAATTTTGGACGCGTTTTACCCATTTTTATGATGAAGCAAAAAATGGTAAGCAGTGTTATCCTTCTCTTACAAATACCGTGTTATTTCAAGGCAGAATACATCACTTTACTCATGCGAAACCATATAAACGCAAAAACAATAGAATAATCTCAATTAAAAGGGTGGAATTAGCAAGGACAAAAGTGTCATGGTGTGCCATATGGAGATTTCAAGGTAAATATCTGTGCCTCTGGGTTGTGAGTGACAACTCATGACCATGGTGTTCTGGAAATGGTTGAAATATAGCTAGCAGATACTAGTTTCGAATTGAACTGTAACAGGGGGGGGGGAATTTGGTGAGACGCAAACAACTTGAATGAACTTTCCACTTTTTAGATGACGCCATCATCTTTAAGGGCAAGACAGAGCCCAGAATCGTCACCTCGATCCGCTTAATGGAGATTTTCGTGTATGTTTTCGTGCCAACGCGCCTAGAAGAGGTGGAAAGTGACTTTGTCAATCCAGTTATTGAAGTCCTCTTTGATCTCTTAACTATTTCCCTCGGTTCTGGTGACGAAAGTCCACCGTCAATTGAACTAGCCTTCTACACTTCTACTTGTCTCGGTTTCATCCTCCATCGTCTTGTCGCATTCTCATTGGACTTCAGAGGGGTTGACCTCTACAATAGCTCTGGCTTCGCAACGGATCCGCTGTGGACTCCATTTGTGGGCTATCGTAAAGCTAGTGACTGTGTTAAATGGATCCGGCCAACTGACAAAACCTTCACTTTGGCTAAAAGTATCCTTAAAAGATTTTTATTACCACTTTTGGACAAATTGTCTGCTGTTACTGACGAGTTGAACGCCTTCCTTGTTGATTCTGATACTAATAACTCCAGCTTTTCACAAATACCACGCACTTCTGGTCAATCGAAAGTGGTCTATCAACAGGCATACCTTATACTACTTCTTTCTTCTATTAGCCAAATTTGCCGTGGTCTCCTCGAGGGTCTCAAACCACGAGATATTCACCACGAAGACGAGAACTATGTCAAAAAAATCTGCTCTGATTTAGAACTTCTAAGCCATGAAGCTGTATCGTGTCCTGTAAGTAGTTTAGCTGCCAGATCCATCAATCTCGATATACCACTTTTCGATCTTCCTTCCAAAGAAGATGGAAGTACTTTAAGAGATCAGATTTTTCGATGTGGTCTGCGTTTTCTTGACGTCATAGCTGAAATCTCGACCAAATTTGATCCCCAGACTGTTGACACAGAAGGTCGGTCTCTCTTATCTTTTTTCTTTACTATTTCAAAAATTTTTCATTTAATCATTTGGAATTAATTTGGTCTTATTGTCTTATCTAGCCCAATCAGAGGGCCAGAGTGTAATCAGAAGTCCTCAGTTTCTTCATTGCTTTCATGATTTCCTACAAGTGATCAGCGTTGCCGGATTCAATGATATGGATCATACACTGTTTCCAGAACATCTGGGCTTTACAATTCATCCACAATCCAAGAATAGTCAATATATAACTTGCCATTTGGATTACCTTGAGCCAGAAGATATTAAACGCTATGCGATCAGAGGTCCCTCTTCGGAGCTCCTTTCAGCTCTAGTTGCAGGGAAGACCCCCGCTTTGAGGTGTGGTGGTGTAGGGGGTAACTACGGATTTTCCTACCTCCCTATTGTTTGGATAATGTGTGCTCGAAGACAGCACCTTAATTTTGTCCGCAGAACCATTAGTCGCCAAGCTACTTGGCCAGGTACAGAAGCCATTGCCCTCTACACTTACCCAAGACTTCCCGTCAATCGGGAGCTTATCCAATGCCTTGAAAGTTCCATACAACTCAGTGTGAACTGCCTTCGGGACCTGGCTCATAAAACGTTTATGGCAGTTTACCTACTCGCCAACTTAAGGACCTCCGGCGTAAGTTGTGCTATCCTCGCCCTATTTGGTCTACGTGGATTTGTTAACAAAGATAGTGGCTGAAGAGCAATAGCAATAGGGTGAGGGAGTGGTTAAGCGTAAGGAGGTTTGTAACAATAATTTTTATTGAAGAGCCTCGAAACTGGCTACGATGTCAATTATTACTGAGAGGATTTTAATAGTGAAAGGACATTGCTTTCCAGTACACGAGTATTGGAAAACAGTTGGGAGCGTTGCACTTCATCGTTTTCTTCCAAATCTCTTTTAATTAGTGGATATGCTATTAATGACACGAATTAGTACTATTGACCGTTTTAGCAATTATGTGTGTGTGTATGTATGTATGTATGTGTGTGTGTGAGTGTGTGTGTGTGTGTGTGTGTGTGTGTGTGGTCCAACATATCTATATTTGTGATTTTGACAACGTCAATCAGGGGAAAAAATCTCTAATGGTATTGATAAGAAGTTAAGGAAAATGGTGGGGTGGGGTGGGATGGGGGGGATGAATTATCGACACTTAAATATCTTACAAGGGATTTGGTAGTCATAAGGACTCTTTATAAGTCAACTTGAGGAATGGTTTCAAACTATTGATAACTTCTCTAAATACACGAATTCTTTCTTTCAATAGAGTGATGTCCTACTTGCACGAAAGCTAAATGACATATTGGAACCATTTTATACAGAAGACGTTTACACCAAAAGCGATGCAGAATACCGAGCCTGTTATTATCGATTAATGCAGGCTTTTGCCATTATCAACCGCGTATTATCCTATTCATCTTTTTCAATGGACCTCTACAAATATGATCCAGCTCTGTGGTCAGATTTATGGAGAAGAATTTTTGTCCTCTGTTCCTTCACTGATCTCCGTAGTATTCAACTCACAGGTACCCAAATCCGAGAGAGGATCAACGACCAGACAACGATATCGTGGAAGTTTCGGCGTGTCCTCATTGAACATTCATTTCAGCCCTCTGTTCTCTATTTCCATTCACATTACGATCCCAATGCACATCCAAAAAACGCATCTTTAAGACGCCTCATTCTTTCAGCCCAACGGCTTCTAAAAACTCTGGGTGGTTTGGAAGAGGAGATGGTAATGTACAAACCACCACTTTTGGTTAAAACGGCCAAACTTCGCAGAGATGCTTATCGTTCTCTTATTCATTCAATCGACCAAAAGTACCCTCCAGATATTGAGGCATATGCTAATTCCATTGCTTTAATGGTACACCTTACCAACATCAACTTCAGCTCAGACGCTTGGGATACACGCTCCACCCATGTGACAGATCCCGATATGTTGCCTTTTCGAAAGACGGCCCCTCCACCACCACCTCCACGCTTATCAACTATCAAGAATGTTCTTCGGTTAATATCCTCTCAAAACATCGATATAAGTTTCACAGCAGCCCGTTTTATCGTTAAGTTCTTGGCTTACTTTCTGCTGAGAACTCGCGCTGATGCTTTCGTTTTGGTCACCCCAAGGCAATTAAAATGGTCCAATACCTGTGAGGGCCTCGAAAATGAACCGCAACACAACTGCCTTGCTGCGCAAAACTTTAACGTCGAAAATATTCTACTCAATATGTTGAGAAGCTTCTTGTAAGTGAATGCTATGCATTAAACCTTTCAATTAAATTTAGGTATTTTAGTTCTCCATTTGTAATAAGAAATCCTTGTTCGCACGCTGTGTTTCCGGTCATCTCTGGTACGACTGAAAGCGGTTTCAAAGTAGATCCATCTAACATGGAATGGTTGAACGTTCGGGCTGAAATAGATTTATCTGAATTATCTTCCGAGGATTTTTTAAACTGGCGAGAAGGGCTCGAAACCGTCGCCGAGTTCTTTGCTTCTCCTGATTTCTGGACTCAAATGAGTCACGTTGTTCTGAATTACCATCATTTTAAACTTCGAAAGTCTACAGATGCCGTCAGGGGACTTATTTATATGGTGCTTGTGTGTTTCGGCCCTCGTCCTTACCTCCAACGCGTTGAGGACTTTCTCATGTCTCTTTTGCAACCCGCATTAAGTCAAGGAGGTACAAGTGGCAAGTCGAAGTATGTTGGAGCGTATATTATGAATAGCATATTGCCCTACTTTGTCCAGAGCTCGCATTATTGGCCGAGAGAAATGCGACTTCAGGTTTATGGACGAGTCTTACCGCGATTACTTGCTTATTCAGAGGCCGCGACTCAATTGGCTTCAATAGACTTTTTGCACGAACCTTATTTGGCCTCTAGGGGAGGTATTCCGCTTTGTTTTCCTGAATTTGCCCGTGAAAATATCGGTACCTATCGGTTTTTCCCCATAAAAGTTAAGCATATGAATGACGGTACTATTAATTTTTTGACACTTTTAGATGATGTTTCTACGGTCTTTGAGAATCAATCAAGTTCTGAAAGCGATCGACTTGTCAAAAGGATTTACTGTGATAATTTTCACCAAGAAAACGACTTTAAACTTAAAGAAGACGATTTTATTAGATTCCCCGATCCACGTGGTCCGAAATTTCAAATACCTTCTGCACTGAGGAACTTTATGGATGCTACATATTATGATAACCTATTTTTTATATATTCGCCTTATATCTGGAAGTTTGTTTGCGAACTAGCTTCAGATGATAGCGAAAAATTCATTTCACAGGTAAACAGTTTCTCTTTACTCAATGATTTTATCTATTTTTTAATCATTAGGAAGGAGAAGATAATTGTGGCCATCGTATTCCCGAAGGTGATGGAGAATGTCCTGTTTGCGTTGGACATCGTTTGTTTACACGACGAGATCAGCGTCAAACCCTGAAATACCAATTTATTGAAGCATGGTATTCCTTTAACCCCTGGAACCTATTACATACCCTTAACCATCTCACTGATGCTGATGCGATTGGCTCATGGGAAGAGAAGGTGTGCTCAAATTCCCATTGGACCCGAACCTTTGCTTCCAGACTGTCATACCAGTTCTCGATTGCTGGTTTCACCCGGTTCCTGAACACTGCTCCTTCGAAAATTCGACTGCATTCTGGAACCGAACGTTCTGTGTGGTCTGAGCATCAAGTCAGCTCGGCACTCGAGACTGAACTACTCTCCCGATTGTCCGCTTTTGAGGCTCCAGATCTACGGCAATCGTCCTTATGTGGTCCTGATTTTGTCATGAAACGTGTAAGTAAATATATGAATATGTAGTACTTTCTCATATTTGTTTCATCTAGGAATCAAGCATTAGCTTAATATAGGATAGCTTGAAAGAGGCATGATTCTCTTTGAGGGCCATTTAAGAAAGACTTAAAACAAGGAACATGCTTTAAACTTCATTTGGTTCAATTTGAATCCTAGTTGGTGAAATATAAATTAATTGGGTCGGCCTAAAGATATATTCTGCTCGGAGAGTTATATTTAGAAAGTTTAGGCCATAAAAAATTATCAGCCAGTCCCTTCATTTTGATTTTTTCATATTTCAGTACTTGCCCCTGTTAGTTCGAGATTGGATGGCAGTTCTTTTGCTTAAGGGTTTACGTCCCTCATCAGCTAGTTTTGTACTTCAAGAAAGTCTCCTTTTTGATGCGACTGAAAGACTTACACCTGCCACTGAGGTAATTCGTTTTTTCCTTATTAATCGACGCTTATGTGAGACGTCCTCTAAAAGCATACTTTTTAATATTTCCTGAAGGAATTGCTAAATTGCTCTCAGCGTATAAAATTATTTGTTGGGAAGCAGATCTCTCTTCGATTGTGTCTCCTTATGAAAGTTCTAGTGCTCATCATATGGAGCGCCTTCCCCCCGAATGTTTGTCTCCATTCCTCTTCTGAATCCAGCTTCGATGTATTTTATCGATTGGCACCTCTTTTGGCTGATCATTTTGCCACTTTTGACAACTACAATTTTAATAGAAAGGACGGCAACGTAGTTGATTGCTTGGACACTGAAATTTTGGATGCCATTATTTATTTGGAGAGTAACGAAATCATGTGTCACACTAACGCCGGTGTTGGCATTAATCAATCCAACAGAATACTGGATTTCTTTGAAGTATTTCTACGGCACTCGGAATGGAAAACACGGTTTATGGGCCTAAAATGTATTAAGATGTTTGCCTTCAATATTTCGACTTTCTGGTTGACAGATGAAGCTGGCAATGCACTTCGTACTCGTCTGAAGCGTCGCCTTTGTGAACTCCTGGCAGATCCGTGGATTGATGTAGCTAAGGAGGCAGCGAACGTCATCTCCAAATACCTAATTCTGAGCATTATTAAGTACGATGATTTGTGGTTCCGCGAGCTAACAAGGCAATCCCGAGTGAAATTACCAACTTTGCAGAAAAGAATGGGAGAAATCAACAAAGATGAGAAAATTGAAGCATTAAGACGTCGACGTGCAGGTGTCTTAGGTCTCTGCTCCATCGTTCAAGCCAATCCTCACGACACCCCTGATTACCTTCCGGCTGTGATAGCTGAGGTGGCGAATCATGCGAACGATCCTTACCCTATCAATAAATTCGTTTCTGAAACGTTGATGGAGTACTCTCGCAGTCACATCGATCGATGGTTGGTCCGAGATCGAGCGAAATTTACGGAAGACCAATTGGATACTTATTTGTCGGTTGTCTCCTGGGCCGATTACTACGTGTGAGTAGAGAATACTCTTTCAATCTCTCACGCCTTTCTCACCTTCCTCCCCCCCCCCATGTCCTATCGTCTCATTTAAATAGGTGGTTTTATTTCGTAGAAATAGGGCAATTTCCATCTGTCTTTCGTCTTTGCCTTCGCCTTCTGTGCTATAACCCTTTTTACATCATTATTTGTAATATTGATGCAAGATATATTTCTTATAAATCTTTTCTTACATGTGCCTTTCATTCAAATTATCTTGCAAAATAAGTATTATTTTGTCTTATTTTTTCATAACTTTCTGGCTGATATTATGTTTTCTTTAAAATAGGAGATTGAAGTACAAATCTGACTCGACAGTCGACTGATTATGGAAGAGAGGTATTGTTGGCTAAAGCTTAAATTCTACAGCTATAAGACTCTTAATCCCAATTAAACAGGATGTGAGTTCATAAAGTAAAGGAAAGGAGGAAGTTGGTAACTTACTCACTTAAAGTTTAAAAGAAACTTTCGGTAAGGTGCTCAGCTGATTCCATGTGATTATGTTGACCATATGGTTTCGTTGTGTCAGAGGAAAGACATATGTGAATGTGTTACGTGCTTATAAGGAAATATTTCCGTTGCATGGAGGGTGCTTTTTACGTCAACCGTCGACAAGAAATTGAGATTATACTTAGCAAAAAGAATCGGCTGGTCACAATATGACTTCCGTAAGTAAACATCGAAACGCTTTTTCAAATTCCTAAGGACAAATATATTTCAAATGGTAGACTTTATGGTATTTATCATTAGCCCTTTAGCTGACTTCAGGCATCAGAAGTCAACTGCCGGTTAATAGACTTTTTCCGTATGAGTATACGTTGCCCAGGATACACCACGTGGAAGAGAGAGTGATAATGTTACGAAGAAGGACTTGCTTTTTAACATATTCTTCAGGGTTATTATGTGAAGAGGTCCTATCTCCTTAGCAACCTTAGTTCCAACAAACCTAGAATGGTATGCACTTCTGGCGAAACTTTTCCTTATTGCCGTCTATCATAATCATTGGACTCCTGTATATATATATATATATATATATATATATATCCACTTGGGGTGTGGGATAGACTTACTTCCTCGTGGTGCATCCTGGGCAACATATAATCATACGACAAAAAAAGTCTATTAACCGGCAGTTGACTTCTCACTTCAAACAACCATCACCTCCACTGTATGTCATATTCTACCCCTACCATAGTACTCATCTTACCCTTTCCGAGCCTTTGTGTCTGTCTGTTTCTTTTGCATCTGTGATTCACTCTTCTATTCTCCCTCCCGAATTCTTCTCACTTTGATGCTCCTCCTCCCCTCTGCAAAGCCCGAAGTCAACTAAAGGGCTAATGATAACTATCAAAACGCCTGCCATTTGTTATAAAAATATATATCCACATAGCACTCTTTTAGGACTCCTCCAAGCGCTGGGTGGCGAAGCGCTTTTCATCACTTTCAGTGAAAACTGCCAAGCCCAGAGGAGAGGCACTTTATTGTTTTGCACTCTCGATTGACAAAACGTGTCGGGAGGTTGAAAGTGCGATTGCTT